TTAGGGTTGTTTTTGTTTTAAGGGTTTAGGGTTTAGGGTTTAGGGTTTTGGGTTTTGGGCTTAGGGTTTAGGGTTTTGGGCTTAGGGTTTAGGGCTTAGGGCTTAGGGCTTAGGGTTTACGGCTTAGGGTTTAGGGTTTAGGGTTTAGGGCAGCAAAGTTGGGTGCAGACGACGACGACGACTGTTGGGCTACCACTAGTTTGCCATTTGCTGTTGTGCTGAGTTCTAGGCTGCTGGCCACCATTGGCACCATGGGTACCACTCTGCATGCTCTGCATTGATCATCAGTCACTACACTTGAGCAAATCACTTATTCTAACCGCCACAACGACAACTGGCATGATGATAAGCTCTTCTGCTCTGGTTGGTTGAATCATGTCTATCCTGGACTCCGGTTAGGGAAGTGTGAAAAGGCACATCAAGTGTGGGAAGTGGCATGTAACACGTTGCCACGCACCGCGCCGTATCATGCACATGTATATCTTTTCCTTGCATCGCAGTCGCCTTCGACGGTCCTGCCGGCTCGACCCCGAGTAGTCGCCTGCAAACTTCCCATTGACGCAGAGGTCGCGTAAGGCGGTCATGGAACACCCTCGGTTGCTTGGAGGCCCCTCTGACTTAGTAAGTCTACTTAGTATCCCCTAGAAACCCTCTTATAATCCCCATAACCCACCTTACTAACCCTACTTACTAAGTCAAAAGGGCCTCCAAGTGCTCTGGCTGAAGACAGATATCAGACATGAGGCTCGACACTAAGCCATCAACCAAAGCTTGGACTCTTGGCCAAGGTTCTAAACAGCGTTTGCTGCCCACAAGCCACTAGAAGCCAAAGCAGAGTCCATGGCTGGATATCCTCTCTCCTCGGGCATGTCGCAAAAGAAGGAGAGATCTGGAGTTGGACCCGCCGATTGCTGAGCCAATGAGCTGCAACGCATGACAATTGGAGTCGCCGTTGAAACGACAGATATCGTATATTATGTGTGTATATATGTATATATATATATATATATATTACATTATTATATTATACTATATGGTATTATTATTATTATATAGTATATTAAAATCCCGCTGTGGCCCGCGCAACTTCAAGTTCATCTGGAGAGAGTCGCCCTCCGGGGTTTCAAGCATTCGAGACGGGAACACTGCAACGGGAAACCAGCAAAACACCTTCCGGTCTCTTCTGGGCTTGGCAATTTTCGGAGCCAATCACATTCCGGACAACATGCCTGCAGCATGCGAATCTCATCCGAGATCGTGGAGAGGTCGGACTGGAACCTGCCAACAGCCCCCCTTCAACCCGAGTTATAGTGCTACTTGCTAGGATTTGCTAGGCTCTGCCGCAGTGGCCGTGCATCGAAACGCAATCCCAGGCGTGGATTCATGTCCGGCTCTCTCCTGCCCCTCTTGCAATGAGCGCTTCGAGAGCATCCGGAGGATGCGACGGGTAGAAATGCAAGCCGGAGAGACGTCCCGAGTAGCCTCTCCATCCTTGGCGAGGACGACTGCGGGGCAGACTCGAAAAGTCCGTCCGGGCCCGCGCAGCTCCCTAAACCTCACCGCCTCCCTGCCACAGCCCGAGTGCCGAGAGCTCCACTTCTCCAGCACAGCATCGGTGGCTAGAATCTCTTGGTGCAGGTCCTGCCATAGAAGACGAGGACGGTGGAAAGGTTCAAAGGTCGGGTTTTTAGTTTTAGATTGATTCCAAGCCCGGCTGAAGACCCACGGGATCAACCAGAAGCTTCGCACGAGGAAGAGTCTTGTGGATGAAACTTGCTTCTTCAAGTTTCAGGATTTCCGGTGTTATCGAAATCTAGCAACCATTATGATTTCCAGAAGACTACGGGCAGGGCAACGGCGTCCGGACGGCCTGAGAAGCTGGCAAAGCGCAAAACATACTGTATATT